AGGGCTTCTTCACAATGTTTTATTCTGTGATGAACGAACGCGCGTAGTATCTTCTGCAAGAAAGACTAGGGGCGGGGTCGATACCGACCGGGCTGAGATGGTATGACTCATTTGTAATATGGACACGGTGTCACAATCATATGCAAATTAAATATCGCGAGGAGGGACCGTTAACTCCGGCCCCGGGGGGGTAGAATCCATTATTCTATTAGAAAGGAGTATCGACGTGGTGCAACCAATGTGGTGCACTCTACGTGGTGCAATATATGTGGCGTCGCTCTGTATGCTATGCAATCGACGTGGTGCAATCTAGATGGCGAAACATGTCTTGCAGTATATATCGATATACATCTATATATATATATACATTCAGAAACCATCGCGCGCACTCAAGTTCTGTTGACTCACAACTCGCAAGTCAATGTCGAGGGTTGGGCAACGGTTGCCGACAGGACGTCAGTCCAGAAACGCGACGGGAGCACGTATAGAACAACCTTTCCCTAAACAAGGAGGTCTCCAGGAGGACGACGAAGAGGACGAGGGGGGCGGCTTGGAGACCGAGAAAAGGGAAAAGAGTCCAGGAGCATGACGGCGACGAACACGAGGGCAAAACGGCAAGGAGGAACAGGAGCAGAAGGAGAAGCGGAGCCTCTGAAGACGAGAAACAAAAAAAAGAGAGGACGGAGAGGAGGGGCCATAGTGCCCCTCGCCCACGTGTGCACCTACTGGTGGCCGTCGGCCCATCCTGAAACCGTGCCTGCAATGTTGGTCAGACACCCCTTCGACACCTGTTGGTGTCTGTCGGGATGCCTTGAGAATGGGTTCGGATCCCCCCCGCGTGGGCCCTCTTGGGGCCCTCTGGGTGTCTCTTGGGCCGTATTGGGACCCTCTTGGGCTCTCTAGGACTCTACTCGGAGCCAATGGGGCCGTCTTGGACGGTGCGCACGTGAAGACAACGATTGTGCATCTTCCTAACGGAAACTTGCGTTCTCGTTGCCTGTTCGAGCCCCATGAAAATCCTGTTGGAGCCGTATTGGTCGTCTTGGCGGCGCAAGACCGTCCGGAAACCACGTTGGGCCGTCTGGGACCTACAGTCGGCCCGTATCATAAAGATACGAGATAAGGATACAAGGCCCTTGGAGGCCCATGTGCACATTTTTCGAACGAGGTTGGCCAGAAAACATCACTAAAGATGAGCCGAAGGGGCGAGGATGCGGGCTGACTGTGTGTGGAACCTACCCATACGCTCCGGGGTCGCTGGGGAAGCTCCGGGAAGGCTCTGGGAAAGCCCCCATGGGAGGCCTCCAGAGGGACGAGGGGCTCTTACAGAATTTGGTTCCACGGCGGTGCTGCGGCCGCGGCTTTCTGGCATAACGTATATATATATACACATAAATACATACGTGCACGCATACATACATGAATGCATGCACGCATACATACATACATGCACACGCACATGCATACACACTTACAAACACATATGCATACCAACATGCACACATCGATGTACGGATATATGTGTGTATACATATACAACTGCATATGCAACTGTATATGGCTATACACAAACTATATACGTATACCTATTCAAATGCAAATCCATTTACAACTACATCAACAAATACATACACATACGCAAGTGCGTACGCGCTTACATGTACATGTACAGACATGTAGATATACATATGCATACACGTAACAATATGCAGATACAGATGCACAAACATATACACATGCACATACACATACACATACCACATACACATAAACATGCACATACGTATAAGTATACTTATACCTACAAACATACATACACATATACATACATATGCGCACATGTGGTGCGACATGTTTGCGGAACAATACATGTGGAATAACATTCGTGGTGCATTCGATATGTCTGCATCGATATGGCGAACCTATGCGTAATGCAACCGACGTGGGGCAATTTGCATGGTGCAGTCTAGGCTGTGCAATCGACGTGGTTCAATCTATGTGGTGCAACCGACGTGGTGCAAACTGCGTGGTGCAAACTGCGTGGTGCAATTTATGTGGTACAATCGATGTGGTACAATCGACGTACTGCACAAATCGGCACAACCCATGTTGTGCACTCTACGATATGCAATCTACGTGGTACAATTCCCCGGTGCCCAACTTGAAAATGTCAACCCCACTGCTCCCGAAATCATCCCACCCACCCACCCGCAAATTGGCTTGCAAAACCCATGCGGCGGCCATTGCGATGAGTGCTTGGTGTTGACTGGTGCTTCCCTGCGGCCGCGCCAACCCGCGCATGCACGTGCGCGCAGAGGCCAGCTAGTTTGGCGCGACCGGTGCGGCCACGGTGGCCCTGGCCGCTGGGCACATCCCCGCGGGCACGTCAGTGCGAGTCGGCGATTTGGGCGGACGCGGTGTCATGGCAACGTCAGCAACTGTAGACACGATGATGATGGTAGCGATGCTGGCGACGATGTTGGCAACGACGACGGCATGGACAGTGACGGCGCCGATGCTGATCACGCCGACGACGATGACGGCGTCCTCGCGTCGGTGATGAAGGTTTTGGAAGGAGTTCGGCATGCGCGCGCGGCCGACACGCAAGAGGCCTACACGGCATCATTTGACACGGATCGTGCCCCCCCCCAGCACGCGCGCAACGGCGTTCGAATGATTTCGCATACGGCGCGAGGGACCCGTTTGGCAGAAGTTGGTGAAACATGTAGAAAAACACATGTAAATGTATTATTGAGGATCTACAAGAGCGCGAGCGCATGCTGTGTTCAAAACTGATGTTGCGAAGCCATATGTGTATTTTTTGATAGTTTCGGGGCACTCGATTTTAAAATCCTTGCGAAACCGGGGATGTTTGAAATATTTCGACATGCGCGCGCGGCCACGCGCGCGTGTGCACTTCGCCCTTTTGTGTTGCAAGCGATTATTTCGACAGCACGCGCGCAAAGGCGTTGGAACGAGTTCGACATGAGCGCTCGCGAAGTCCGTTTGGTAGCATGTTATGAACAGGTTGAAAGCCTAAGTTTGCTGCTGTCCTTGTTTAAAGCAATCGCAAGAGTGCGAACGCCAGGTTAAAAAAATGAAAATAAATACGAAAACATGGGTTTACATGTTTTTTTGACACTCGACTTCAAAATCCGTGCGAAACTTAAGGTGGTAAGAGATTTCGGCATGCGCACACGACGACGCGCGCGTGTGTGCATTTCGCCATTTTTTGTGCAGAAGGATTATTCGAAAACTTATGATTTATGATAAACGAATGCGCGTGCAGAGTACTTTTGCAGAGGATGAGGGGGGGGGTCGATCTCGGGTTAGCCGAGCAAGATCTGAGTTTATAACTAGGATGGGCGATGGGACAGAATCGGGTGCAAATTGTAATACGAAAAGGGGGGAAACCCCAAGGGGTGGGGGTAGAATATCATGTTTTGAGTTTTTTATGTATGTTGCACAATCTAATCTAGGCGGCGACGGCGAGCACGGAGCCGCCAGACCGCCAGCCAGGCCCAGACGACGGGCGGCGACGGGGCGGCGACGGCGAGCACGGAGCAGGCCCAAACGGCGGGCGGCGACGGGGCGGCGACGGGGCGGCGACGGCGAGCACGGAGCAGGCCCAAACGGCGGGCGGCGACGGGGCGGCGACGGGGCGGCGACGGCGAGCACGGAGCCGCCAGATCGCAACAGGCCCAGTTCCTTTAAAAGTAAGAAACCCCGAGTGCAAACACTGATTGGGGAACGAAGACAGAAACAGCACCAAAAACATAAACAAAACTCAAACGGATATACAAATCGAATACTAAACAATTGTTTGCATTCGCGTGAAAGTCCTTCTTCCTCCCTTATCCTCCCATTGCATCCCTTTGCCTGCTCGTCCTCCTGGCAGGAGAAAGCGAAACATCACGAAAAAACCCGAGCTGCGCATCCTCATCCGTAACCCTTGCCCTGGGGAAGCGTCGAGTACTCGTAATCACTCGTTCGTCGATAGCAGCATGCTACCCTGCGAACACGTCAAAAGCTGAAACTCTCCTCCTTGTCATCCTCCTCCTCGCTAGCCTGGGCGATGACGCCGTGCAGCGTAACGAAAGGTAGCACGACGCAAACTGAACAGGCCAGCCAGGCAGCCCGGGCTGTCGGGCAGACAAGCCGGTCAGCAGGTGCCACAGCGGGCAGAGCACGAGGCATGGGCGCGGGTGGTCATTCGAGGGAGATGGTGAGATGGCGCTGGTGGGTCAGGCAAGGAACAACCGAGGGGAACAATACGAGGGGACCTGCTCAGAGGGGAAACGTCGACCTGGCATCGGAGATACGTCGCCAGTGGATCAGCGATAGGCCAGCCATGGCGAAACCGCTCGTCCCAGGGTGGGGGATGCGCTATCGGGCCCCAATTGGCAATCAGTGGGCGACTGAGCCTCATTCTTCCCAAACCCCAACGTTGCCCCTGAACAACGCGCAACGACGATCTGAAGAGAGGACGTCTCGTGAGATGCGAGCTGCGTGCTCTCTGTGCGTTCCTTGACCAGCGCCGCGGGGTCGCCGCACCCGCCGACAGCCCCGCTCTGACCAGTTTCGCCGCCGAGTGCCGCGCGCAGAAGCCAGCTCGGCGCGTCGACGCGGCGCGTCGACGCCAGGCGGTGGACCCCGGTCGGGGGAGGGAGGCACTCCCACGGCAGGTTCGTGTCGTGACGACTTCTGTGCTGGCTTCCGGGAGCGCAGATCGATCAACGTCGGCCGATGTCAGGCCAATGCCCGCGTCACGGAGCGGCACGGCGCGAACCTACTCCACGCTTCTTTCGAAACGCCGACTATAGCCTCCACCACGCTTGCAGTGAAGATTTTGGTATGAGAAACCTTGGAGCATCGAGCCCCGTCCGAAACTAAAGAAGACCGTATCCCAAAGCTTTGACTGCCATGGCCTCCACCACGTGAGCCGATGGTAGGATCAAAGACAGCGCGCGAAGGCGGCAGCGGCGACGTCACGATCGGTCCTGTATAGCGCCGAGCGCTTCAGCTGCTCGCGCAGCATCTCGGACCTCCCCCTCCCACAGCAAAGACCCCTCGCTGTGCAACCTGTACGTCCTGCCTATGTCGTCGACTCTCGATGCAACTTGAAAGAGGAGGAAAACATAATCGTCGACGGTTCACTACCCACCCAACCTGTAAGAGCAGTGCGTCAGTCTGGCGTGCATCGCTCTCTCTCTCTCTCTCTTGCAGCTGGGCAGGTCGCCGTCCACCCATCGCGCTAGTCACATGGTCAGATATGGATCCGAAGCCAAAATCAACACTGATTGTTGTCGCATCCACTGCTGATCCTCATCCCATGGGGCTACGTTCCATGTTTCCAGCTTTGCGCGAAACCTCCTGGTGCATTTTGTCCCTTCAAAAGAAGGGTGGCCACACGATGGTGCCAGCTGTAATCGGCTCATGCCACGAACACTAGAGAAAACCATCCTATATCCACAGAACAAACACATAAAGCAATACCGTGCCGCCAGAATTGGCGCCCCGCCCCAAGTTGATTCTCTGGACTCGTCTGCATCATTCCCCGAACACCCCGAGCCCCGCCGCCTTGACGTCGTCTCATCAACAAAACTCAGAGAATGCGGAAGGGGTATCGGATGTTATCCGAAACTGAAGCTCGCCCCTTGTCCTGGGCCTGCTCGACCGTAAGATCCCAAGTCAACACAGAACATAATGGCAATGAGGACAAGCAAGAAACTGAAGGTGAGGACGAGATTTTTCATCATTACTCAATGTGTCTGGGTGGTGCCGACGCAACGGCACCGATCTGGCAAAGAGTGCGGCCGACACAGCTGGCCCACTGGACACGAATGCTCGAATTAGTCATGGACGCCCTGGCGGCACCAGCGCGCTCGTGACGGAGCACAGCTCGTCAGGTGGGGGGGGACAGGCTTCGCTGCGAACCACTTCGCCTCTTGCACAGGGGTCCGTAAACTCAGCTCGATCTCCACACGTCTTGAAGTCCCCTGTGGGAATCTCACTACAGGGGGGCGAGCGCACCGGGAACGCCTTCATGGCGGCCTCGTGGCACGTGCAGTGGTCCTCTGGCTCCATGAGCGTGTGGTATGGTGTGGTCGCGAGGGTGTCGCAATTGGGCTTCCACATCGTATTCTTTTTCTCGGAAAGGGGTCGGTCTGCCTCGCACGTCCCGTCCAGCTTGGAGCCATATCCGATCCCGCGCTTGATACCGTTCGCGTCTGGGCAAGTCTGCGCAAACAGATCCTCGCCCATGGGCCCGCACTTGCCGCCATCTATGCCAACCTTCCAGTCGATCCCCCCGTTCTTGCACGAGGCCATCGACCCAAAGAGCGTCTCGAAAGCGGCCGTCGAGGATACCTCCAGGCTGCCAAAACAATAATACTTGACGTGCTGACAGCCAAACTGCAGGCGGCTCGGGGTCATCACGGCGTCCGCGTCGAATTTCACGACCCAGCTGGCAGAGGCGTGCTTCCCCTTCGCCGGAAGAGCCTTCCGGGCCCGGTAAGGCCTGTGTTCAGCCAGGTGCCTGCCTGTCTCCTCCCGCTTCGCGAAGTGAGGTCCCCGCCGACATCATCCACCCTCGTGATAGGAACGCCGGGCGCACAATCGGCCTCTACATCGCTGTACACCCCCAACGAACCACAACCAAAGATGCGGATCCCCTTCTCGTACGCTTCCTGTAGCAGCTACGGATCGTAGTACTTATTCCTGCAGCCGATGTCCTGCGTAACTATCGCGAAGTAGTACAGCGTCGGATCGTACGGCACAGCATCCACCAAGACTGGCTCCATGATCGCTTCCGGCTGGTTGCAGAGCTTTGGCATTGCTGGGCGTGCAGCTCTTCAAGCGTTCGCCCCCAGCTTGGTCTCGAAGCAATGCAGACCCGCCACGTTGAAGCACCCTGTGCCGAAGCAGTCCCCGCCCCAGTTGGAGCAGTCGTCGCGGCCGCTGCTCGCCCTGGCGGGGGCCCGCACCCGAGGTCGCCCCGCGCAGCGCAGAGTGCGCCGCCCCCCGCCCGCGCCGGCCAGTCGCGGGAGCCCCGCGGCTGCGTCGCCCGCCGCTCGCCAGGGCGAGCGCTGGGAGCGAGCGTGGTGGACCAGGAGCTGCTCCGACCCGCTCGCGTCGCCGCCTGCCTCCGCAGGCTCCACGCGCTCCATGGCCGAGATCACCGGTGGCGAAGCATGAGGGCAAAGCGTGGCAGTGCTCGCAGCTCATACTGGCGGCAGGAAGCTCTCGAGCCAGAATGGCAAGGAGAACGAAGACGAGGACGAGAAGGATGGTGGCATCAAACTCAGAGCCACACGTCAATGCATGGCCACCACCGCGCCTCGAGACACGAGATGGAATGTCCTCAGGTCGTTTGAGTCCTCGGTCCTGAGTCCTGAATGATTGAATCAGGGCTGCACCTAAACGTTGTGCTCCGTTTTGTGTTCGTTTTGTTTACGTTTTGCTCTACCTATCTTCCTGCATCATCCTCCCAAGACGAAAAACAAAACACAGCCGAAGTCCAACAAAACAGCGTTTAGGTCCCCGCCACGCCACCGTGCCTAGGTTGTGGTCGGAGGCCTCGCATATGCACAGTAGCGGTATGATGGGTTGGCGTTCGGGGGCCTCTTCGAAAGCTCTCGGGCGCCAGGAAGAGGCTTCTTGAAGGCTTCTCGAGGTCTCTTGAGGTCTCCTGGAGGCCTTTTGAAAGCCCCTTGGGGCCTCTTGGGAGCGCCTCGGCGGGGCTCGTGGGGCCATCTCGGGGTGGAGGGCTTAACATGACAGTTCGGTTCACCCCTCTTGGGCCCCTTTCGGGGAATCTGGGGATCTTCTTGGAATGCGCGCGACGCAATTTCGGAGGGCGCGCCACAGGATGCCCCACAGGGGGGCGGGGGGTCCAGGTCTGGGGCCGCGATCACGGGCTTGTGTGGCCCATTGTGTGTTTGTGCGGCCACAGGAAGGTTTGTGGCCCGCCGCGCGGCGGATGGGGGTTACCCTGGCCCGCGCTGGCTTCGACCCTAAAAATCGTATGCCAAGACTTCCTCGGTTAGCTGCGAAGCCCATGGGAAACCTTGGAGGATTGCGTTTGGACCCGAGACAGGAGGCAGCACACAAACACACACGTTGATGCGTGTTGGAAGCAATGTGTTAGCGGTACTAGGAGTAGTAGTCGCGGTGGCGGTAGTGGTTGCAGTGGCAGTGGCAGTGGCAGTAGTAATAGTAGTAGTCGTCGTCGTCGTCAGGGTCGTAGTACCGTCGTCACAGTAGTAGTACAAGTAGCACTAGTAGCACTGGTGGTAGAAGTAGTAGTAGTAGTAGTAGTAGTAGTAGTAGCAGGTAGTAGCAGGTAGTAGTAGTAGTAGTAGTAGTAGTAGTAGTAGTAGTAGTAGTAGTAGTAGTAGTAGTAGTAGTGGTAGTAGTAGTAGTAGTAGTAGTAGTTAGAAGAGTTAGTAGTAGTAGTAGTAGTAGTAGTAGTAGTAGTCAAAGTAGTAGTAGTAGTAGTAGTAGTAGTAGTAGTAGTCATCGTCGTCGTCGTACTAGGAATCGTCGTAGTCGTAGCAGTAGGAGTGGCAGCACAATGGGTAGCAAAAACAGTAGTAAAGGTGGTAGTACGACATAGCACTAGCAGTAGAATTAGTAGTCGTCTTACTACGTATAAGCATGACTTATAGAGTAGGCCGTGATATGACAAAACAGGTCGTAGCAAGTAGCAGGGCAAGTAGTTGTCGTCGTAGTCGTGGTAGTAGTCATGGTACTCCTACCAGTAGCTGTAAGGGTAGTCGTAGCAAGATCAGTAACAGTAGCAATAGGAGTAGTAGTCGTGATAGTAGTAGCATCAATAGTAGTAGTACAACGACCACTACTACTCGTAACGACAGTAGTACTAGCAATAATAAAACTCGTAGTACTAGTAGTAGTAGTAATAGTATTGGTACGTGTGCAGTAGTCGTGGCAGTAGTAGTAGTAGTAGTAATAGTAGTAGTAGTAGTAGTAGTAGTAATAGTAAGAGTAGTAGTAATGGTCGTAATAGAAATAATAACAATGGTAGTAGTAGTAGTATTAGTATCAGTATTAGTAGTAGTAGTAGTAGTAGTAGTAGTAGTAGTACTAGTAGTAGCATGCGTAGTAGTAGTAGTAATAGTAGTAGTAGTAGTAGTAGTAGTAGTAGTAGTAGTAGTTGCAGTCGCACTGGTAGTAGAAGCAGTAATAGAAGTAGTGGTAGGTGTAACAGTAGGAGCCGCTGTAGTAGTAGCAGTCGCAGAATCAGGGGTAGCAGAACTAGCAGTAATCTTAGAAGTAGTGGTAGTGGTAGTGGTAGTGGTAGTGGTAATCTTTGTGGTAATGGTAGTAGAAGTACTACTACTACTACTACTACTACTACTACTACTACTACTACTACTACTACTACTACTACTACTACTACTACTACTACTACTACTACTACTACTACTACTACTACTACTACTACTACTACTACTACTACTACTACTACTACTACTACTACTACTACTACTACTACTACTACTACTAGGTCGTATGATAGTAGTAGTAGTAGTAGTAGTAGCAGTAGTAGTAGTACTGGTAGTAGTGCTAGTAGTAGTCGTAGTAGTAGTAGTAGTAGTAGGAGTAGGAATAGCAGTAGTTATGGTAATAGAGGTAGTAGTAATAGTAGTCGTCACCATAATAGGTGTGGTCGACGTAGTAGCAGTAGTAGTCGTAGTAGTAGTAGTAGTAGTAGTAGTAGTAGTAGTAGTAGTAGTAGTAGTAGTAGTAGTAGTAGTAGTAGTAGTAGTAGTAGTAGTAGTAGTAGTAGTAGTAGTAGTAGTAGTAGTAGTAGTAGTAGTAGTAGTAGTAGTAGTAGTAGTAGTAGTAGTAGTAGTAGTAGTAGTAGTAGTAGTAGTAGTAGTAGTAGTGTAGTAGTTCTACTGCTGCTGGCGGAAAACCGGGGGGGTCAATACCGGTTCGAACCCCTCCCCCCCCCCCCTCCGGAAAACCGGGGGGGGGCACTACCGGTTCGAACCCCTCCCCCACCCCACCCCCCAGCTCA